GGTGTTGCTCTTGGATTGTTGGTATCTAAGCCTTTCTTCCTTGCTTCGTTTCCCTGTTTCTCCTGTTTTGTCTGTAGTGGGCGTGAACTCAGGGCCTGGTGCTTACTAGGCTAGCACTCCACAATTTAAGCCACGCCTCTATCAGTGCTTTCTGCGGATTATTTTTTGGAGACAGAGCCTCAAGGATTTTTCTGCCCAGGCTGACCCGAGGCCACTCTCTTTTAGATGTTAGACTCTTTTTTTTTTTTTTGGGGGGGGGGGGTCCAGTCGTGGGGCCTGAACTCTGGGCCTGGGCGCTGTCCCTCAGCTCTTCAGCTCAAGGCTGGTGCTCTACCACTTGAGCCACAGCGCCACTTCCGGCTTTTTTTCTTTTTGCTTATGTGGTGCTGAGGAATCGAACCCAATGCCTCAGGCATGCAAGGCAAGTGCTCTACCACTGAGCCACCTTCCCAGCCCTAGATGTTAGATTCTTGAGTAGCTAGAAATAAAGGCATGAGCCACCAGCACGTTGTTTATCATGTTTTTATCTAAATGGAGTTTAATGTGAGTCTTTCTTTCTAGAGAAGAGCTGATCACCATGGAAAATGATGCAGTGAAGGAGATATCCTTCTATTTGGACACCGAACAAGAGACTTCTCCCAGCCAGGCCTCTTCCCCCCTACCTCCTGCACCTCCTCCATCTCCAGCAAAGGATTTTGCAGACTGGCAAGCAAGTACAATTTAAATTACTTAAAGTCCGGGTTCAGTGATGTTTTTGACGACCATCTTACATATCTTTATTCTTTTCTCTTTTCCTTCTCCTAGAATGGCCGTTGAACATTGTTTATCCTCACCCATGTACATATCGGATTTTGAGTTTTCAAACTAAGTTTCTGATATATATATATATATGTCTATGTACACATAGACATATATGTATATATATGGATATTATGTTGTAGAACACTTGTGGTAGTCGTCAGTATTTGAATTAAAAGTATATTTATTGGGCCTTGTTTGTTGTTAACTCTAACTCAGTAAAAACTGTAGGCATCTGTGACATTAGCTGGCAAGATCTCCGGTTCAGACTCCTGAGGAGCAGGGTTCAAATCTACTGTTGTAACGGCCAATTCGTCCTAGTGTAGCTGAGCTACACTCCTCTTCTGCGTGTGAGTTAGATCATCGAGGTATGTATTTACTATGTTGTCAAAGTGTACCTGCAGGAAGTTGAAGTGATTTTCAAACACTTTCAGAAGGAAAGCACAGGATGAGTTAATGGGAAGAAGTCCATTTCCTGGGTCCCCTGTGAAGACTTCGAGGGCCCCTCCTGTTGGCAGCGTCAGAACTGTGGTCTACGTTGGTCTTTCTGTTCCAGGATGTCCCTTCTGCTCCCTCCTCTAATATCTGGTCTCTTGAGTTCCATTGAGCATCTATGATGGGAGGCAAGTACAGTCGGAGGGATATCTTGTCACATGGAAGACATTCCAGTGGGAAAAGACCAGCAAAACTTACATACAGCTTAAGCACAAAGTATATGCTGGGGAGTGACAAGTGTCACGGGAAAGAAATCAGGGCATAAGGAGGTAGGAGGAGCTGCAGGAAGCATGGGGTGTTTGCGGTGCTTCGTAGGCAGCCGGGGAGGCCTCTTTGGGAAGGTGACGTTTGAGCCAAGACTAGAAGCCAGCGTTGGAGTTAAGCGTGTGGACAGGATGTGGGGGAAGTGTCAGCGGAAAGAGGGGAGCTGGTGCGAGAAGTCTACAGGCAAAAGCAGGGCTGGAGCAGAGTGAGCCCCAAAGTAAAATCACAGAGCAGGGCCTGGGGGTCACTCCACGGGGGCTTTATAAGGGTTCTGACTTTGGGAGAGGAAGGCGTTGTGCTTTAAGGCAAAGGAGAGGCGCAGTGTGGCTCCTAGCCTAGTGGAATTATTGCAGCTGCCCTATGGATAGGCCGTGTGGGGTGTGGGGCCGGGAGCCTTTACATGCTATTGTAGTAAACTGGATCTGTGGCAGCTTGGGGGGGATGAGAAATGCAGCCAGATGCTGGATCTACACGCTCGAAGGCACAGCCAACCAAAGCCGCTGACGGATTGGCTGTAAGATGACGAGAGCAGCAGGAAGGGAAAGGGTTGCGCAAAGGTTTTGGTTTAAGCACTTGGAAGAGTGGAATTCCACCTGCTCTAAGAAAGACAACGTTGCCAGGCTCCGGGGCTCACACTTCCAGTGCTAGCCACTCAGGAGACCGAGCTCTGAGGGAGTACGCGGCCGTGCAAGGTGCTGATTCATGTGTGTAGCGATGCGAGAGTGAAAAACGTCCCGCGTGCTGCGTGTGGGAGGGCAGGTGCACGGAGCGGAATTGAGTGATGTGGGAGAGACGAGTCAACCCTTCTCGGTTGAAGTCTGATCCTACCACAAGTTTCAGGATCCTTACATCATTGCAAAATGTCAACCGCCCCAACCAGCAACTCGGGTGCTGACAGATGCCCGGGGGATTCCTCCCTGACCTCACTGTGTTAGGAGTCGAATTCTCGGATTTGCTTTCCAAAGAAGAGCGTTTAGAACTCGATGTAGAGAGAATTGTCTTCTTGTAAAAATCAGCTTATGTGAGAATTATCTTTAAAGCCAAGCGTGTGGCTTTTTAATTGTTTTTGCCTAGGACAATGTAGCCTTGGGTAACTCCAGATTCGTTCCTCCTACCTCAGCTTCCCAAGTGCCAGGATTACAGGCGTATGCTTCCATGCCAGGACCCACGATTGTGACTTCTTTTGTTTGTTTTTGTTTTTGTCAGTTGTGGGGCTTGAACTCTGGGCCTGGGTGCTGTCCCTGCACTCTTCAGCTCAAGGCAAGTGGTCTACCTCTTGAGCCACAGCACCACTTCCCGTTTTCTAGTGGTTTTTATTGGAGATCATTGTCTCACGGACTTTTCTGCTGGGGCTGGCTTTGAACCCAGAGCCTCAGATCTCAGCCTTCTGAGTAGCTAAGATGACAGGCATGAGCCACCAGCCCAGGTGACTTTTTTTTTTTTAACAGCTAGTTCTTACCTTCTTTGGAATCAAAAGGCCACTCGTGGGCGTGGCAGTGAAGGTAGAAGGCTGAAGTGTGAGGTCAAGCTGAGGGAGAAGCCAGACTCAGCTCAAAAAGCAATCAGAGGTCTTCATCCGGTCCTATGAACGGTGACCATCCAAGCAGAGTGGAGAGGGGCTGCGGGAGCAGGGATTCCAGAGGGGAAGCCGAGGCTCTGGAGGGCTCCTCATTCCAGATAGTGTGAGCCATGTGAGAGAGAGGAGTTCAGACATGCTGGGAAGGTGCCAAGCCTGTAGCACCACCGAGAGCACAGGGGAGGCCGAGCTCCTGTGGAGCGGCTCCTGCAATGCCCCCTACACCTGCGTACAGCCTGCGAGTCAGCCAGGAGAAGGCGGAGGATGCGGGCCTGGCGAGGGGGACGTGGTGTGGGCAGCAAACCCTGGACTCTGCCCTGATGCCCAAAACCAGCTGTACGAACCTCGGCCTGCATCCATTCCCAGCAGTGTCCTCAGCCCGCATCTCAAGCCCCCTCAGGGAGAATGAGGCCGACTCAAACCCCGGACTGACTGATAGCACCCCGGTGGAATAGAGGCCGGACTGAACTGGCAGAGTAGAGGTTACAAAGCCCGCATCCTCACGTGGTAAGCCGGCACTAGAGAGAACCGAGAAGGAAACTGCACCCAGTTATTTAAAAGCAACGCTAGCGGGTGTGGAAGAAGGTAAGGTTATCATTTAATGAGTGTAGAAGTTCAGGGGTTTGTGTTTGTTGTTGATGACAATGTTTTGTTTGTTTTAATGCCAGTCCTGGGACTTGAATTCAGGACCTAGGTTCTGTCCCTGAGCTTTTGTTGCTTGATGCTGGTGCTCTGCCACTTGAGCCGCAGCTCCACTTATGGATTTCTTTTTTTTTTTTTGGTGATTAATTGAAGACAAGAATCTGAGGGCCTTTCCTCAGCTCTCAGCCTCCTGAGTAGCTAGGATTCCAGGCGAGAGTCCCAGGAGCCCAGCTTAGAATTTCAGTTTTATTAAGAAGGAAAAAGTCCTGAGGTGAGATGGTGGTGATAGTTGCGCAGGCCGTTTAATGGCCTGGAATTGTGTGTTTAAAAGTGGTCAAGATGGTAACGGTTTTGTGTGTATTTTGTGCTATTTAAACACATGAAAAATGCCACGTTTGCTCCCCTGATATTGTGGCTTGGGAAATGGATACTCATGGAAGTGGGTGGTCCTAGCAGGAAGGGAGGGTGATTTTAGAGACAGACGGCGAGGTGCAAGCGTTGTTCAGGGAGGACGTAGAACACCAAGAGATGGAAAGGGACGTGTGGTCCCCGTGCCCGAGTGTTAGACTGAGTGAAGCCTCAACACCAAGCCCCAGCCCTCAGTGTAACCACCCCCCATGCACACACACACCTGTCACGTCCTGCCACTGTTACTCCACCCAAAGGAATCTATCTGATGGCTAGAGACTGCCCTCTTCTCTTAATGCACAGACTTACAGAAAGCTCCTGGAAAATGAAATTGTGTAAGATAACTTTATTTCATGGGGCAGAGGATTACATAATACCCAGCTAAATTCTATTATTTGAAGCATTGGAAATGATTGATACTAACTGCATCGTACATAAGTTCAGCTCCAGCCACAAAGCGAGCGCTCTTCCTCGTCCTTTGAGGGTGGTTTATGGTGAGCCGTGGAGCTTTCGAGAGCCATGGTGTTTGGAAGAAACTCCCATCATGCCACGCGCCTGCCCCACATGGCCAGAAAACCTGCACTCGTTTCAATGAGCATTCCTTTCAAGATAAAAGCTGGCAGAAGAAAAGACCTAGAGTCAGAGGAGATGGACAAGGCCTCGCGTTACTGAGCCTGCGTGGTCAGATGGTGGCCTGGGCCTTCTCCTGAATGAAGAAGGCTCCGGGCACAGCGGCTGCGGTCGGGGCTGGCTGGGCGTCTGGCTGGGCGTCTGGCTGGGCGTCTGGCTGGGCGTCTGGCTGGGCGTCTGGCCGGGCTCAGGGCTGCTTGTCCTGGGAGAGCCTGACGTCATAGGCGACCATGTGGAAGTTGTCCCAGGCGAAGAGCCTCCTCTCCAGGGGGTTGTAGTCGACCATGCTGCTGTAGCGGTAGCGGTTCTGGAAGGGGATGGCCAGGCTCCAGCTGCTCCCGGTGTCCGTGTCGTAGGCGAAGTTGACAGTGGCGTCGGGGGAGGAGTAGCTGCTGACCGTGTACAAGGTGCCGCAGATGACGAAGGCGTTGGCCACCGACCGCTTGCGGATGTTGGTCTCCCAGGTGCGCTCGAGCTCCAGGCTCTCGGGGTTCAGTCTGGACAGCACGATGGCCCCTCGGGCGTCCTCGGTGCTGTAGATGACCCACAGGCCGGTCTCGTCCACGGCCAGGTCGATGTCGGTATAGCCTCCCCATGAGTACGGGAACTGTCCGTGGTAGCCGGCCCCGGGGATGTCCCTCTCCGCCCTCACCGTCTCCGTGCTGAGCTCGTATCTGACCACGGTCCTGGACTCGGCCCCCTGGAAGTACAGGCTGCCCCCGTACACCACCGCCCCGGTGCTCTCCAGCGGCCGGGGCAGCACGTACACCTTGGAGGGGTAACCCTGCTCGAACTGGCTGGCGCGGCCGTACTCCAGCACCTGGCGGATGTCCCTGCCCACCGCGTCAATCCGCCACGTGGTCTCGCGGGTGGCGGGCTGGGTGGGCTTGGGGTCTCGCATCCACACGCCATACTTGCCCGTGATGGTGTCGGCAGTCCTCAGGGTGACAGGTTCACCTACCCAAGTCAGCGCCCCGCAGCCTGTGGATGGGAACACGCGCAGGGCGGGCGGGTGGGAACACGCGCAGGGCCGGCCCTGGCCAGCGTGAGGCAGGGGGCCCCGGGGAGCCAGGGCTGGGGCGCACTGGCCGCCTTGAGAGGCACGCCTGCCCCCAGCTGCTGTGTGGCCGGCAGGAAGGCAAGTCTTCCCGAAGCCCCCCTTTTCCCACTTGCAAAGGGGGAGCATTGGGGGGGTTAGTGGAGCCCGCACGAATGTTATCCACAACTAGACTAGTGTTACGTACTAGGGAGGAAACATCCAATAAATGTATGCGATCCAGCTGCGATAGGAATGGCACTATCTGGTAATGAGTTGTAAAAAATCAAGGCTGTGTAGGTGGCTCCAGTGGTATTTGTCCTCTCCTGGAGTCTGGCAGGGACTCACCTGTGTTTAATGAACTAGTCCTTGTGACGTTCGAGTCTAATCTGTTATTAAAACAGAAAAGTCAGCAGGGCATAGTGGCCCACAGCTGTGATTCGAACTACCTACCTAGCAGCAGAGATGAGAAGGGTCATAGTCCACGCCAGCTCAACCAAAATTCTGGGACCCCCCCCCCATTAAAAATAACAAAGGTGAAGGAAAAAAAAGTTGGGGGCAAAGTTCAAGGAATAGAGCTCCTACCTGAGAAGAGAAAGAGAAATGACAGAGACACATGCAGAGACAAGGGGGGAGATCAGCTGGGTGTGTTTGTGCATACCACAATCCAGCTAGCCGGGAGACGGGGCAGGAGAATCATGAGCTCGAGCCCAGCCCCAAATCAGAGCCACGTTGTGCATCCAATCTCCAGTACCCCAATAAATAAATAGTGAAGCTGGGCACCGGTGGCTCACATCTGTCATCCTAGCTACTCAGGAGGCTGAGATCTGAGGATCACAGTTCAAAGTCACCTTCAGGAAAGTCTGTGGGACTCTTAACTGCAGTTAACTACTAAAAAGCCAGAAGTGGAGCTATGGCCTAAATAGTAGAATACCAGCCTTGAAAGGAAAAAGCTGAGGATTGGTGTACAGGCAAGGTTTAAGCCCCAGAGCCTCAGTATCCCTTCCCTCTCCCTCTCCCCCTCTCCCTCTCTCTACCTCCCCTCCTCCCCCCCCCCCCCCCCTCTCTCTCTCTCTCTCTCTCTCTCTGCATCTCTCATATTCCTCCCCTCTCCACAAGGTGGCCAGCTCTCAATGCAGGGTTTTTCCAGTGCAAGTGTGGCTGGCAGCCTGCAAAGCCTTCCTGGCGAAGGCTGAAGAGGAAACGCTGTTCCTCACTCCCTCCGCCCTCTGGTGCTCCCAAGGATGACAACAGTCACGCATCCCAACTCCAAACCCCAGACCACACTCACGCAAAGACCAAGGGCGCTTAAAAGGGAAGCAATCTAACTTCATACCATGGCTTCCCTCTTCACTCCGGGGATGGCCAGAGGTACTCTCCTTCAAGATTCGGGAAGCAGGGACCTCGGTTAACTCGGACTTCAGTTCCTGGAAAGCCAAATTGTCCAGATTCCACGGAGAAACTGTATTCAATAAAAGAGGCAAAATTGTGCTGAGAAGAAATGGTCCCAGAAGGGATGGTCCCAGGGGAGGGAGGCATGTAAGCAGGCAGGATTTAGCCAGAAGGGCGTTGGAGACATGGTCTAGGTGGTGAAGGGGCTGGGCAAGGGACGCGCACAGGACTGGGCCGCGCTGGGACCACTAGACCTGGGGTGACGGCTGCACTGGGGGCCCTTCTTTTTGTGGGTGGTGTTTTATTAAGTAATGATAGAGGTGACACTGCCATAAGTCAGGCTCTGAATACAGTGCTCCCTGATGCATGCCGCAAAGGTATGCTGCAGCCTTAGTGAAAAAGCCGGACCAGAGCTCAGGCCTGAATGTTAGCCCCAGTACCAGCGGAAACAAACAAGCAAGCAAATAAAAAGTTAGACATGCTGGGTGCTGGTAGCTCACACCTGTCATCCTAGCTACTCAGGAGGCCGAGATCTGAAAATTGCAGTTCAAAGCCAGCCCAGGCAGAAAAGTCCATGAGACTCTGATCTCAAACTACTCAGAAAAAGTCAGAAGTGGCACTGTGGCTCATTAGAGCACTAGCCTTGAGTGAAAGAAGCTCAGGGACCATGCCCAGGCCCTGAGTTCAAGACTCAAGACTGGCAAGGAAAAAAAAAAGTTAGACATGTTCACAGATAACTTCTTTTGTGGTAGCTAAAGTACTAGCTCAGAGATACTGAGAACTCTGTGTGTGGGGGGGGCGGGGGGGGGATATTGAGATTTCTTGCCATATTTGAAGTATTTATGAATATATTCAGAGAACTAGAACAAGGCTTTGGACTGTAGTCTGCACCTAATGGAATGTAATTATTGCTACTACTAATTAATTGCCTACTATGAGCCAGGCACCAGGTCAGGTGCTTTTCAGTCCTGAAAGGGAACACCGATCGTCATTTGCAAATAAGGAAAGCAAGGTTTAGATGAGTAAGTAACGTGCCCAAGATCACACAATTAGTAGGTGGTAGGGCTGGGACTTGAACCCATGTTTTCCAAATCCATGGAAGCTGTGAGCCATTCCCCCGTGTGCTGAGTCCCAGCATGCCTGGGTGGATTGCGCCTCCTTCCTGGGGCTGAGCTCATCTTGGCTCTGTGCTCCTTGTAGGAGCTGTACCTTCCTGGCTGCCTTGGGGTAAACAAGAACCATGGTAAACCAGTGTGAGAGATGGCTTCTAGCAGGAGAGCGCCCCCATGCGGTGGGGGGTGGGTGGAGCTCCGGGGAGCCTGCTGGCTGCTGGGATGGTCAGCCAGGCACCTTTGGCCCCATTGGAAGCCTTCCGGCAGGGAGACCCGAGGCGGGCTCCACCTGGAGCCCGGAGTTGGAACTCCCTCCTGGAGGCCCACCACCTCCCAGCTGAGTGGCTTCCTAAGCTGAGGCTTGCATAAGGAACTGGAAGAGCGCCACAGCCAAGCGCAGAATTCTCTGGAGTGTTTTAAAATCCATTTTGCTCTGAGAGATTGCAAAACCGTTCATTACTATATTAGGCCAGATAGTTAAGAAATTTAGGGTGTTTTTTTTTTTTTTTAATTTTGTTTGGGTTTTTAATACTAAAATGGAGTCAGTCTGTGGCTCAGAAGTTCGTGTCTGCTACAAAATCTTGGCAACTTTCTGCCTGTTCTGCCCTAACTTCTATCTGCACGCAAGTGGCATTGGCATCGGTTTTGTATTGATCTTCTAGTACCGTTTGAGCTCCCAGTCAATCCTATGTGCAGGAAGAGAATGAGGACAAAGACGGTGCCATGACAGCTCGTTTGCAAGTTGTGGGAAGCGTGTGAACGCCGCCATGCGGCCCGCGCTTGCTGTGTCTGGTAGACGCAGTGGGTGCGGGCTTAGACCTGCAGGGGACTCACGCAGCAGCCCTGTGCTTGACCACCGCTCTCTGGCATGCAGCCCCTCGGCCAGGCCTCTCCTGATACTTCTACTCTGCACAGTGACACCCACAAGAGTCGGGTCCTGGTCCTGGGGTGACAGCGGAGGGTCTACGGCCCACCTGGGATGCCCCTCCTCCTCCTGCCCACCTCTTGGCAGCTGCTGCCGGGGGAATCTGCCCATCACCGGCACAGCCCTCCCTCAGCGACACAGTCTGCCAGAGCCAACATGGCCACATCCGGGTACCACGAGCAACTATCTCACAGGACAGCCAGCTTGTATTACGCCCAGGATGATGGTCCCCACCCCCACCCCCTCTGGCACATCCCCCCGGCCCTGGGCGGTCTCGGGGTCGGGACTGAGCTGCTGTTGTTTACTGTGGTGACCAGTTTAAAAAAGATCCTTTTTGTGTTCCTTCCCTTAATCGTTCTCCCTTCTTGTCCCCTATTTTTCTTCCCTGGGGACCATGACCCATGAAGGCCACCCTTGTCCCAGCTTCCGGTCTATGGGGAGAACCCACGCGGAAGCGGAGTGATCGGTGAAGAACGTTGGGACTTACCTTCTCCACTGTAATTTAGTTTTAGAGAAAATTGTATTTTTCCCTTCTCTGGGCCTGTGTGTGTGTGTGTGTGTGTGTGTGTGTGTGTGTGCGCACGCGCGAGTGCGTGCGTGTGCATGCGTGTGTCTGTGTGTATCTGTGTGTGTGTTTGTGTGTGTTTTCTGGCATATTTTTAAGTATCTATCTGTCATTCCAAGACTTTTTCCCCTATGAAATAAGCACATGATAATAGAAAAAAGCAGTGATAAAAATCCAAGGCGTGGTGCTCAGCCTCCCTTCCTGGCCGAACGTGGCTTCAAACACTCCGTGCTTCGGTGCCAGCCAGGCTCTCTACCACCTGAACCCTAGGCTTTAGTTTTTGTCATTCCCTTCACCCTTACGTTCCAGGCACTCAACGCGCTTGTACCTCCCACATCTCAGGCTGTGAGGCGCATCTTTGGTTCAAGCATTTCTGCGTCTTTCTGTCTCCCGTGGTTAGGACGGAGAGCACGCGGCATGGCTGGGGTCCTGTGGTCAGTGATTCTCAGGGGAAGTGGACAGGATTCTAGTTCAAGCTCGGCCATCATTGGGTAGATGGCCCTGGGCAAATTGAATGGCCTTTCTGGGCCTCAGTTTCCACATTTGGAAAAATGAGCCACGAGCCCCGGATGCTGGTCAACCCCCACACAAAACAATCCAACCCGAGAAAAGGAAGTCCAAGTTTGGACTTCGTAGAATGGGCTGTTTCCCTGTTCCCAAACTAGAGCAGCTGGAAAGGACAGTAAAATAAAATTAGAAAATACATCAGATAAATCCTCCAAAGATGGGTTAAATGACCACAAGACCATAAACAGGCAAAATCTTGCTGCTGTTTTCATATGCGTGTACACACACACACACACACACACACATTTGCTAACAGTGTAATTCATCCAGTCAACAGTCTATATCATAATGCCTCATGCTACTTCTGTTAATAACAAACTGTCGTTTGCTCTCTCAGACTCAAGTTCAACTCTGAGCTCTGCATTGACCTCCCCCCCCCCCCCCCCCCCCCCCGCCCCACCCAGGGCTATGTGCCCTGGGGCTGTGCAGCCGCACACAGCCTGTTAGGAGCTCACTTTCCTTGGTGGAGAAATGCAGAACTGGATCTCTTCCAATTCATTCCAACAACAGAGAAGTTTTGTTTTGTTTTTTTAATCTTTTACACCATCTAGTTACTTCATTTGAATCCCATAGCAATGAGGGCAGGGGCTTCTTTGTCACATTAGGGACACAGAGTGGAGGCTCGGAGTTAATTTTGTCACATTAGGGACACATAATCAAGGCGCGGAGTTAGTTTGCCCCTGGCCACACTCAGGCATTAGATTTTTAGCATCAACATATTCAGATCTTGTCTTCCATGCAGAATCCCCCTTTAAAAAAAAGTTTTCCCACTGTATTATTTTGGAGTTCTTCAAGTCTATAGAAACACTGGCAGATAATTATGATAACGCACCCCAGGCCTCCGAAACCACAAAAAGTAATGCACCCCATGTGCCACTCACCTCGCCAGGTCTTATGCTATTATGTTTTTTTTTTCCTTTCTTCTTCCCATTCTCTCTATATTTACTCTTTCCTGGAATGTTTGGAAACAAGTTGCAAGCATCTGAACAGCTCAACCTTAAGCAGGTGATCAGGTGTCTTCTTAGAGAAGGATATTTTCCTTTATAATGCTAACATTTCACCTCCCAAATGGAAAATTGTGTGACCGCATAACCCAGTGAGCAGTCTACACTCCAATCTCCCCGGCTGTCCTGAGCTTTTCCCTTGTAGCATGCTCTTCCTCCATGAAGGAGCCAATGAAGCATTACCTGTTCCGTTTGGCTACCCTGCCTCTTAGTCTCCCTTAACCTTGAGCACGGCCCTTCCTTTTATTTTCACAGTGCTAAGAATTAAATCCAGGACTTGCATATGGCAGGCAAGTGATTTACCACTGGAATACAGCTCTTTTTTAATTTTTTGTCCTGGGAGTTGAACTCAGGGCCTGGGTGCTGTCACTAAGCTGTTTTCTCAAGTCTGGCACTCTATCACTAGAGCCACAGCTCCACTTCCCATTTTAATTGGAGATACAAGTCTCAAAGGGGATCTTCCTGCCTAGGCTGGCTTCAAATCTCGATCCTCAGGTCTCAGCCTCCAGAGTATAAGTACCTAGAATTACAGGTATGAACCAATGGTGCCTAGCTAGAGCTCTTTTTCTTTCTTTCTTGATACTACTATCTTTAAAGAACCCAGATTAATTATAACAACTGAATTTACTTGCTATTTTCTCATGGAATAAGAAAAGATACTAAGCAGTGAATTTTCATGCAAAGTGACCCAACTGCTGTCTTCAAGCCCATGGGAAAAATGTGCTTTGTCCCCTCACACACACACACACTCACACTCACACACACACACTCACACACACACACACACAGCCCATCTCTCAATAAGCGAGTGCTGCGTGGTCAGCAGGTGGACGCCACCTCATAAAGCTGTATGGGGAAATAAAAAGGGAGTCTCAGATTGAAATAAAAGAGGGAACCTCCAAAGCAAGCCATCGAGAGACGAACAGCTGTCTCCTCTGCCAAAGTTGAGATGCAAGAACAAGCAAAAGACTTGTGTTTTTTTTGTAGTTATTAAGCCTTTTATCTTCTCACACAGTGAGGTTATTTTCCCACGGGAAGACCAGAATCATCACTTCTGAGCAAAGACTCAGAGCATAGTGTGCCAAGGAGGCTGCCGCCTGTCCCCACCCTGCACACCTCTCGCTCAGCCCGAGCTTCTTTTTGCCGTGGGCTGGCACAGGGACGGGCACGGTGCTGGCCGTCAGCACTCCGCAAGCTCCCGGGCTGAGTCACTAGCGCTCTGTGCAGGAGAGGCTGACACACAGCCTGCGTGCGGCTCTGGGGCCTGCGCCCGGTCGGTCGCCATGAACACCCACCTGCCGGGCTGGGCCCGGCCTCCACCTGTGGCCTTACCTTCCCCGGAGGCCGGGGGCACGTCCCGGGAGGCCTCGGGGGCGCAGGGGCACTGGCCCTGCCGCAGCCTGGCCACCTCCTGACTGCTGCTCTCCAGCCTCCTGGCCAGATCCTCCTTCTCCTGCCCCAGTCGCCGCTTCTCCTCCTCCAGGACCGAGTGATCTTGGAGGAGGTTGCTGTAGGCCACCTCCAGCGTCCGGGCTCGGGTGTCCAGCTGCTCCCGCTCGTCCCTCAGGGTGTCCAGCTCTGCCTGCAGTCCCCCGTGGGCATCCTGAGGCCCGGCAGCCTGGCCTGAGAGCAGGCGGTGGAGGAGACTCTCCAGGGCCCCGAGCCGCGCCCTGGCAGCGTCCAGGTCCGCGCGCTGGGTGCTGCTGTCTCTCTGCAGGTCCCGCACGGCCGCCATGGCCTGGCCCTCTTCGGGGCAGCTGGCCTCGCTGGGACTGGCCACCGTGAAGGTGTACTGGCACCGGCCGCTCCGGTCATTGGCCTTCCGGAGCTGGGCTGTCCTGGCCCCCGTGGCCCACGCCAGGCAGGCCAGAAGCAGCAGCTGGGCGGCCGGCATGGTGCAGTGGACGCCCTCCGCTGTCCCGAGGGGGCCCTGGCCCGAGCCTGAGCTCCACGGGTGCTTATATAGTGGGGGGCCAGAGAAAGACGTGGCCACGTGAGCCGGGGAGGGCCGGCGTGGGTGGGGTGGGGGACTGCTTTCCTAATACTGGCTGGAGTCTCAGGAAGCAGCCGCCCAGAAGTCTGTTTTGAATTTCTATAAAGGGAGGGAGGGAGAGAGGGAGGGTGCGTGCCCCCCCCGTATGTACCCCAAGAATTGTCCTCATGTGCACACTCCTGCACCGCTCAGGCAGCAGGTGTGCTTGTCCAATGGTGGGAGGATGCTCCTGGGCTTTATTTCCACCCCGGCGGTGGAGAGCGCAGCACACGGGCCCCCCCCCCCCCCCGCAAGGCCAGGACAGAGCGGCCAGCCAGAAGAGAAGGTCAGGACCTCACCGGGGAAGCGGAGCCCTTCTTCTCTTGCCCCTGGTTCTAGAACAAAAGTGGGCATATCTTGATAAGATTCTCTTGGCATGGCCTGCCTGGGCTGGCTCTGAACCCTGGAGCCTCAGCCCTCAGCCTCCTGAGTAGCTAGGATGACAGGTGTGAGCCACGGTGCTGGGCAGGCACCATGTGAACGTTTTCTTTCTGTGAACAGAACTAACATCACTCCTGGGCTGCCTTCCCCACGGAGAAAAAGAATTCCTGAGCAAGAGAAACCTGAGTCCTCTCCCTTCTTCAGATGATAGTTGATGGCTCTCTCCAGCTTTCTCTGTTTGTAAAGGAAGAGCACAGGAACTCTGCTCCCTGACTTCTCAGTGGCTTGCTTTCCACAGACCAGCCCGCTTCCCCTTGTCCAGGGCCCTGTCACTGGCTGTCCCTCTGGATGTCTTGCTCGTTCTCCCAGCCCTCCCACCGAGCGCTGCTCTCTCACGCACACCGCCGCTCTTTCCCTCAGCTGCCAGCCAGCTGCGTCGCCCCGCACTGTCCAGCCACGGGCATCCGGCCAGAGGCGAAAAGCTTAGCAGCCCCTGCCATTCTCTCTGGCTTCAGCCTGAGTTTTTGAGTACCAGGCAAAAGCTGCCGCCAGGACCCCTCAAACTTCCTTCGGTGTCCTGGCATCTTGTGGGCTCAGAGGAAAAGACGTGGCAGTTGTTTAAGTCACCAAGCTTTCCTCAGCATGGCTACAGTCGGCCATCTCTGCCCGCTGGGTTCTGATTCGATGACAGAGATTGATGGAGCACCCCCATTCTGCTCCCCCCCCATTCTGCTCCCCCCCCCCCATGCCGCCCACTGGGATCTGAGCATCTCCCTCTCAAGGAGGATCCTGGGGACATGTCCAGAGAACACCGGGGCCACCAGAGCCTTTCCAGAGAAGAACCGAAGCCTGGGGTCAGAAGCGGAAAGTAAACCTCTTTTCCTGATGCCTCGGTTTCCCACGTTCTGGCTAGTTCACCAGTCTGCCCTGAAAGCATGGAACTTTCCAGTCACTCCTCCATGGATCAGGACTCTAGGAAATTTGCTGGTCTCCTATACTGCAGTCAATAAAGGCCTTCGGTGAAGGACAGCTTGTGCACAGCTTTGAGGGATTAACAGCTGATTTTCTACACCCGTGTGCTTTCATGAGCCAGAGGGATTCTCCTCAGAGCAGGGGAGAGAGGCTCGCAGGAGCAAGGAAACGCCCAGCCCCGCGCGCAGCAGCCAACACCGCCTTCCTGCCTCCCCAGGCCAGCACCCGGTCCCCTGCCGCCCCCTCTCCTGGAATTCTGGACCTGGAGCTGCTCTCCCCCCCCCCAGAGAGGCAACGCTGTCCCCACGGTCACACAGCATTCCATCTCCATTTCCTGCCTGGAGCCAGGGGGTCTCCAGCACACACGGCCAGGAAGAGGCTCATGGGGTGTGTCAGGCCAGCTGCGGGAGGAATTGTTGTTGTTGGAGGTTTGAGCAGCCTGGGCCTGGCAAGACAGGCAGCTGGGCGCGCTGGGGAGGGGCGTTGTTCAGGGGCTCAGTGCACAATTACTCCTGTTTCCCTCCCTTCCTCCCTCCTTCCTTCTTTCCTCCTTCCTCCCTCCCCCTTCCTTGCTTCCTACTTTCCTTCTTTCCTTCCTGAACCAAGGTTTGAACTCAGGGTACTACACTTGCTAAGTAGGTGCTTTACCAGTGGAGCCATACCTCCATCCCTGTGTGCTGTACTTCTTTTTAAAATAGGGCCTGGTGTTCATGCCTGAGCTGGTCTAGACGTCATCATCCTATTTACGATTTCCTCACACAGTTCATGATTGACACGGGTCGCCACACCCAACCTTTTATTGGCTGAGACGGGAGACAGCCTTGTAAAGTGTTCTGTTTTGTTTCGCTTGAGTTCGTCTCCTCGTGGGCCAGCCATCACTGGTGGTGGCTGCAATTTCTTCCTTCTTTCTCCTTTCTTCTTCCTTCCTCTTGTACATGATACTGAGTTTGAACCCACGCTTTGTAGGCAGGTGCTCTGCCACCTGAGACACACCAGAGACTATTATCTTCTTTTGTTTATCCTTTATCGGCCAGGCATCGCTGTGCAGTCAGCTAATGACGACCACTGGCGTTGCGAAGGTGTGTGGCCGTCCCGTGAGCCTGCTCCCACGCCCCTGCCTTTGGAGCGCTTTGGTTTTGCAGCACTCTCCTGTCCTTGCTAGCCTGGCCTCCCTGTCTTCCCCCACACTGTGGTGTTTGAAGTTGAGATCCATCCTATTCTACCTTCTGCTTTTCTCATTTTTCCTTCAAGTTCGCATGCAAGTCTCTTCCTGAGGAACAGATATTTCGTTATCCGTGGAAGCAGCTTCCCCTCCCCGCCCACCCCTAGCTGTTTTCCTTCTTGCTTGTTGGTTCTCATCATTTTTTCCTGAAACTGACAAAGAGGAGAAAGCTTGCTTTGTCTTCGTTACTCACAGCATCTTCTCCTGTTTCTTAGCCACTTGCTGATGGGTTTACCATAAGAGAAGCCACGTTTCCTAAAGAGTGGCCTCTGCCAGACATGACACGGCGGTAAAGGGAGAGGCTGGGAGCGTGCTCAGTGCTGACGGCTCTCCTTCCTAATTCAGCGTCACTCTGCCAAAGACAGACAGCCAAAGACAGACAGACAGCGCTTACAGGACACCATCACTCTCCTGTCCCCTTGTTTCCACACTAGCCCCAGACAAGCCGGGCAAAGAGCCTAACGCCTCCAGATCCCTGCGTGTCCCACCGCTCCGTCCGCAGATTCTTCCTCCTCCTTTCTCTTTCTCACTCTATGCAATCTTTGGAGAGCTCATCTGTGGGCATAAGACTGCAAAGTAGCCCTCAAAGATCCCAGTGCATGCAAATCTTTGCCTACCTTGTAGCACGGTTGGACTGAATACCAGTAACACTGGCTTGCCTGAGACTCGATTATAGAGCACTGTGACGTCCTTACCTTGGGATTCCTTCTTGGGCCTCTCAGATGGTCTCCCTGCGCTCAGATCAGCCACATGAGGAGAGGCTAGGGGCTGGGAAGCCCATATGAGGAACAAAGGCCAACTTGCAGCAGCAATAGGCCTGTGAGTTTGGGAATGGCTCCTACAACCCAGGCACTTTGATTGGAACCTAACTTGCTTCAGGACTCACCTGCAGAAACTGTGACATAGGAAATGCTGTGGTGTGTGTGTGGTGTGTGTGTGGTGTGTGTGTGTGTGTGTGTGTGTCTAGGGAATCAAACCCAGAGCCTTGTACATGCCACTTCTAGGTGCACTGCACATTGGGTTTTTGGTGGTTTTGCTTTATACGCCAATCCTAGGGCTTGAACTAAAGGCCTGGGCACTGTCCATGAGCTTTTATTTTTTGTTCAAGGCTAGTGCTCTCCCACTTGAGTCACAGCTCCACTTCCAGCTTTTTGGTGGTTCACTGGAAATAAGAGTCTCACACACTTTCCTGCCCAGGCTGGCTTTTGAACCACAATTCTCAGATCTCCGCTTCCTGAGTAGCTAGGATTACAAGCATGAGCTACCGCGCCCAGCCCATTCTCATTGACTTCCTGGACTAAGTTTTGGGTAATGTGTTATATAATAGCAGGGAAAAAAAACCCACATCATCTTTCTTATGCCTTAACCCATAACCTCCCAAGGAATTCGCCGCCTTAGACTTCTCCATCGCGTAGGAATTCCAGGCTCCAGCATGAGGGTGTGAGCCTCTTCTCATGCCCCGTCCCGGCCCAGCTAAAGTCCTGTCCAGGCTTGTTCCTGTCTAGCTACCCTGCATCCCTGACGGATGAGGGCTGCACTCCTCCTGTCTGTCCAGCCAGTCACCTGCCACCCTGGACTTTTCCGTGTCTCTATGTACAGTCAGTTTTTGTCACTATTTTTTTGTTGTTGTTGTTGAACTCATGGCCTTACCCTGGCTCAGCCAGCACTCTATGATTTGAGTCATGCCTCCAGTCCTGTTTTTTGCTGTTTATTATTATTTAATTTTTTTTTTTTTGTCAGTTGTGGGGCTCAAGGCGAGCGCTCTACCACTTCAGCCACAGCATCACTTTCAGTTTTCTGGTAGTTGATTGGAGATAAGAGTCTCATGGACTTTCCTGACCAGGCTGGCTTTGAACCTTGATCCTCAGATCTCAGCCTCCTGAGTAGCTAGGATGACAGATGTGAGCTACCGGTGCTCGGCTGCTGATTATTTCTGAGATGGAGTCTCATGGACGTTTCTCCCCAGGCTAGCTTCAAACTACAATCCTGGAGCTGGGAGGTGGCTCAGTGGTAGAGTGCTTGCCTCGCATGCATGAAGCCCTCGGTACCACATACACACACACAAAAAAAAGCTGGAAGTGGTGCTGTGGCTCAACTGGTAGAGCAAAAGAAGCTCAGGGACAGTGCCCAGGCCCTGAGTTCAAGCCCCAGGACTAGCCAACAAACAAAACCCCACAATCCTTTAGATCTCCGCCTCTGATGAAGCTAGAATAATGTGCCAGAGCAACTGGCTCCCCGCTAATTGCCAAGATTTGGCGGCTATGCCTTCAGAATTCCCCAGCGTTCT